CTGACCTTATCTCCCACTGTGCTCATTAGGTATTGTGCCTGGATTATCTCAAGCAAGCTTCTCTCTCAGGGCCTTTGCATTGGTTATTCCCTCTGCCTAGGATGCTCTTCACTCAGAAACTGGCATGACTGGCTCTTTCATTCCATCAGTTCTTTTCTTAAATATCACCTTCTTAGTGAGACCTTCTCTGATGACTCCAATTTAAAATTGAATCCTGTGAACACCCCTTTAACTCCAGTCTATTTCCTTGCTTCATTTTTCATCATATGAAATACTTACCATGCATTCGTTTTTTTAAAAAAAATACGTTTATTATTTGTCTCCGGCTAGAATGTAAGCTTAGTGCTCTGTGAGATTCACTCTCTCTGTCTACCTCTCTCTCTGTCTCTCATTTGTTTTGTTCACTGGTGTATCCTCAGTGCCTAGAATATTGGCACATAGTAGGCACTCAAATATTTATAAATGTATGAATGATTGAAGGGTAATTAGGAAGTCCCCTCAGTCAGCTTCTCTCTCCTTAATCAGCTTCCTGGAGCCTACATCTCCAAAATTAGAATTGTTTTTAAGACAAAAATAATGCATTCAGCTTAAAAAGAAAATAAGGAAAAGGAAAACCCCTAGGGAGTGATAATATATTAATTATGAGTAGTAATTTACATCTCAGTGTGACTGAATTTACCAGACGTGATTAGAGGCTTTGTTCTGTTAAGTAGAGGAAGCCTAGGACTGAGATCCTGGGACTGTGGAAAGGAGAGTGTATTAGTCCATTCCTGTTGCTTATAATCAAATATTTGAAACTGGGTGATTTATAAAGAAAACAAAATTTATTGCTTACAGTTTCTGAGGCTGGGAAATCCAAAGTCATCTGGTGATGGCAACAGTGACCCAGGGGTCTCACATTGGAAGATGGTGGAAGCAGAGAAAGCCGAGAGAGAAAAACCTCCTCATTCACTCTCCTTTTAAAGCCCTCTAATCAACACCATGACCACCATTTTTAATCCATTGACTATGGCACAGTCCTACAACCCAATCACCTTTTCTAGGCCACACCTTTCAATTACCATAATAGGATTTCCTATTAACAGACAACCATGACCACCATTTTTAATCCATTGACTATGGCACAGTCCTACAATCCAATCACCTTTTCTAGGCCACACCTTTCAATTACCATAATAGGATTTCCTATTAACAGACACAGTGGGGGCCAAGTCACCCTCTTTTTTTTTTTTTAAAAGATGACTAGTAAGGGGATCTTAACCCTTGACTTGGTGTTGTCAGCACCACGCTCACCCAGTGAGCTAACCGGCCATCCCTATATAGGGATCCAAACCCATGGCCTTTGGTGTTATCAGCACCACACTCTCCCAAGTGAGCCACGGGCCAGCCCCAAGTCACCCTCTTAATAGTCACAGTGGCGGACAAGTTTCTAATACATAAAACTTGGGGAACACAATTCAAGCTTCAGTGAGTTTTGGGGGGACATTATTCAATCCACTACAGGGAGGAAGGAGACAAGGAATACAGTCTACTTTTTTCACATTTCTCAGTGGGACTGGCCCTAACATCACAGACAATGACATTTTATTTATTTACTTTTAAGATTTAAGGATTCCACATTTTGTTTTATTTTGAAACAATCATAAATTTATAGAAAATAGATAACAGAGAATGTTTTTGTTATGAACCATTTAAAAATATGTTGCTCACCTGATGCTCTGTTGTCTCCAAACATTTTAGTGTATATTTACCACAAATAAATACAGTCTGCTATATAACCACATTACAATCTTCATACTTAGATCCCAGTGAGGTTTCACCAATTATCCCAATAATGTCCTTTATGGCCAAAGTATTCTGATTCAGAATCACATGTTGCATTTAATTTGAATGTAGGTGGAAACAGTTTAACTGTACTTCTGAACTTTTATAACTTATGTCTCTTTGGTATTTTTTGGTGTAGAACAGTTCTTCAGCCTTTCTTTGACTTTATGACCTTGACAGTTCTAAAGATTAGAGCCATGGATATGTCTAATATTTCCGCATAATTGAATTCAGTTATAAATATTTGGCAGGAATATCACAGAAATGATATTGTGTTCATTTCCTCCTATCATGTGGCTCATGATTTGATTTTTCCCCGACCTATGATGTTCATTTTGATTATTATATTTTATAATATTTTTTTAATGTCTGCCAGTCTTCTCCACTTTAATGTTAACTTTTTTCCTTTTATAATTAATAAGTATTATGTGGGGAGGCACTTTGAAACTATATATATCCTATTTTAATCAAAATTTTACTTATTAATTTATATTTGTATAAAGCCATGGTTTCCTATTTTAGTGAGTAGACTATAATCTGTTGCTATTGTTTTTTACTTTGATGTTCAGATTGGTTCTAATTTAACTAGTGGGAGCCCCTTCAAGCTGGCTTCTTCCTGTAACTTGTTCTGGTCATCTTTATTATGCCCCAGCCATAGGACCTAGCACTGAGCCTTACATATGCTATTCGCTCAGTAAATATTCATTGAATACCTAGAAAGAAGGGTAATAAGCAAATTTTTCTTTCCAGATTCTTCCTTCCATTATTACTCATCTGCTCACTCCCCAACTCCTCCACAGTGACCTCAGCTTTTATAATTCACTTCTCTGTACTTCAGCTTCAGGTATAATAAAGAACTGGCTGTGGCCCAAAAGTGATGTCATTTTATGCATCAATATTTTAATTATATCATTTTCCACTTTCATTACTAAGTTCTACCCATTCCTCACAATTCAGCTTAGCTGTCATGCTCTCCAAGAAGTCTCCCCTGACCCTCGTCACCCATCCCCAGGCTGAGCTAAGTGCTATAAATATGGGCTCCAATAGTACCTTCAAATATCTAATAATGAAATTGCCACAGTACATGGAAATTGGCCACTTTAGTTGTTTACTTGTAGGCTGTAAGCTCTTTGAGGCTTCTATCTTTATATTTACAAACACTTGCACAGGTTTAATAAATGTTTATTTGGTAAGTGGGAGAATGAAAGAATAAACAAACTTATCATATTCCTTTTTTGTTCTAGTTTTTATCTCTTTAATTTACCTGTTTGTCCGGTCAGCTGATCACCCATATATATATATTTAATTTCCTCACCTAATTTTAGGCCGGTAAGTGGGAGAATGAAAGAATAAACAAACTTATCATATTCCTTTTTTGTTCTAGTTTTTATCTCTTTAATTTACTTGTTTGTCCGGTCAGCTGATCACCCATATATATATATTTAATTTCCTCACCTAATTTTAGGCAGAAACAATTTTTATTATCTTAAAAAACAAATGAACAAAAACCTCTTGGCCATCAAACAGAAATCAGAAATGAAAAATGTCAAAAATGGCAAAAACTGAGTTCTGCTTACTCATCTAGCCAAAAATTATCACTTTCTAATTTCTTATGATTGATATTCAATAAACAACTTTCTGCCAAGGCCCTCTACAACAGAGTCACATTGTAAACATCACTTTTTCACAAACACATGTATTATTTATATCTATTCTTTTTTCTCCCTGAGAAGATACAAAGGAGGTCCTGCTGACTTTCTCTATCAGGTCTGCTCCTTTCTATTTTTACAGACTCTGTCTTTAATCACTTTCAATTTAGTTTGCTCAAGTCGCATCAAAGGAGTAATTCAGTATACTCAAAATTAAGCAAACAAGAAATTCCTATTTCTTTCTAAAGGGATTCAAATTATACACAATCTACAATTTGTAGCCTGGCTTTTAAGGCTATTCATCTCACACTCACCTCTACCAGCACTCTCCATCTTATTTCCTCTATCTAAGAAAACACATTTCCTTGTACTTTCAGATATGCATTTAGCATTGAAGCCAAGGAAATATACTTTCAGTATACTATAGAAAATTTGCAAATTTCTTCATTGTTGTCTTTGTACATGTGTTAGAGCTTTGCAATTTTCTTTGTGCCATGATTCATCTTTCGAATCCCTGTTTACTTCTCTCACCTCTAACAAAATTTTCTTAATTATCTCCAGGTCATATTAATTGCTCCTGTATCATACAATCTTTCAACATTTGGATTTTACGTGAAGTAAGAATATTTTAATCTTTATTTATATGTTGCTCTAAAAAGTGTTCTAAAAGATCTTCACATGTGCACTCTTAGATCACTGAAAACAGATGTACTATTCTACCCTACCAGGTTTAATCTAGCCGCACTTTCATATAAGATGATGTCTTAATAGGTGCTGTTGACTTATTTTCTTACATCTAAGGGTACTTGATAAATGCTCTGAATTAAATTAAATTGAATTGGCTGCTCATCTTCAATAAACTATTTACAAGTAGTAATGAAATAAAGGAAACAGTAAATTTAAATTAGAGTTAGTGTTTAAAGCTAATAATATTTCCAGTAATCCTACCCAGCTTCTAACATTTGCATGAAGCTTTATTATATATATGCTAATGTTTCTTCTACTTTTCATCTCTCCCCCCAACCCACTCCCAATACCACCAAACATCCATAGGAAGAAAACCCAAAACAAATTGAAAGGTATACTATAGAATATCAAAAGTTTCACATTAGTCCCAGTGCTCATTTTTATTTATGTATCTGGTATGATGGCATCATATTAATATTCTTTACATTTGCAGCTTTATTTATGGCCTCCCTATAACAAAGGATAATACCTTAATTTATATCATAAAGTTTAGAAAATTTACTTATCTAGACAATTTAGCAATAAGAAACAATAAAAGAAAATGCCATAGTAAATGCTTCTTCCCATTCTATATAGGTTAATGAAAAATTCTTTTTCTTGGAATATTACATAAAAATTAATTATGTAAAAAATGTTATTTTGAATAAAAATTTTTGTATATTATATTCACTTTTATGTTATTTCTTTTAAAGAACAAACCAGAAATATCGAACCTGCTAAAATATTTAGTTAATGGATAAGACAAACTAGATTAAAATTTTAAACAATAACGTACAGGATCAGCAGGTCCACAGAATTCTCGAAATGTCTTTGTAAGATCATTCTGTTGAATCTCGAGTGCTACGCAGGGGCCAGAATACATTTCTGTCACCATCTCCTATGATATGTAATATAAAACACTTAAATGAATTTTACAATCTTTATCCCTCCTCTTTTAGTTATGCATTATCCCACTAATCTCAAAATGTTAAAGTCATTTTTGACTTCTTCCCCACCTGCATCCCACACACTAAGCAGTTTCCAAATTCTGTCCATTTTTCCTGCAAAAAAAATTTTTTAGATATGTTGCCTCATCTCCATTCCTACCACTATCAACATTTTAAGGTAATGCTTTACCATCTGACACTTTCATTATTTGAAATTATCTTCCACTATATCTTCCTTTCAAAGGTCTCTCTCTCATGGAACATAACAATGTTGTCAAATTAACATTCCTAAAAATATAAATTTCAAAGTTTTTCTCCTGAAGAATCTTTTAAAAATCATAATGCATTCTAGCGATAACAGGGACCAAATTTATTCTTCTATATTAAACATCTTGAGAGAAAAGAAACAAATTAGGTTAGCATATAATGGTTCCATCTTACTACCTGGAGGTGGTTTCCAGACCATCTGACAGGTAGACAAAACACAACAGAGCCCAATGTTCTCACTGAGTTGAGGAGAAAGACTGAAGTGCAGTGAAGTCGATGGAGTCAGAATTTTCAGGGCAGAATACCGAAGAGAGAAGAGGAGCTATACAGAGAATAAAGATATAGGATCTGCCAAGAAGTTCACATGAGTCTTTGGCTAAGAATCTGTGGTATGTATAGGGAAAATGACCTGAGGCTGGGGAAAGAATCACCAGAAAACATTGGACAAAACAACTCAGAGAGAAAACACAAGGCATAGAAGAATTTGTGTTTCTATCAGCCAGAGTGGAAAGCCCTCATATGATACATGGATTATCAGGTAGAGTCCTCAGAAGGATATTACACCACAGTAGTTGGCCTAAATTAGCCCTAGATTATGAGATACTCTGTATCCATCCTACAAAGTTTAAGAGCAAGCCTCAAAAGGATCAAACTAATTCCAAGTAACTTAACTAAGTGCCAGAACAAAGTCAAACACAATTTAAAGTACAACAGTATCTACCATGTAACACTGCAAATTTTACAATATCCAGCATCCAGTAAAAAATTACCAGGCATGAAAAGAAGTAGAAAAATATGAATCATCACAAGAACACTCAATAGAGACAGATCCAGCAATTACAGAGATAATATAATTAATACAAGAATGTCAAAACAGCTATTATAAATAAGCTCCATGTGTTTACATTATAGAAGAAAGATGGACATGATGAAGGAAAAAAAAGCAAAGATATTAAAAAGACCCAAATGAAACTTAACAGAGATGAAATCTAAGACATCTGAATTAAAAAAACACTGGATTGGATGAACAAGATAAGACACTGCAGAAAAGCAAATGAATTTGAAGACATTCAATAGAAACTATTCAGAAGTAATAATAGAGAGAAAAAAGAAGGAAGTAAAATAAAAAAAAATGATCTGTGGAACAATGTCAAGCTGTCTAATATATGTATAATTGTATTCTCAGAAAAGAAGGTAATGAACAGAAAAATATTTCAAGAAATATTTTCTAAAAGCTTTCCAAATTAGATGAAACCCATAAACCTACAAATCCAACAAAACTCAAAAAGAATAAATGTAAAGAAAAGTACAGTAGGGCACATCATAACCAAATTAGCAAAAAACGAAAGCAAAAAAACCTTAAAAACAGCCAGAGGGGAAAAAAAGGCATATTACATAACAGCAGAACAAAGATAAGGATGACAACAACGATTAAAAACAAACAAACAAGCCCACCCCCAAAACAAAAACCTGTCCATCTAAATTCTATGCCCAGGTAAGAAAATATTTTTCAGAAATGGATTAAAAAATAAAGACATTTTTATGCACACAAGAGCTGAGAAAATTCACCACAAGCAGTCTTAGACCATGAGAAATGTTAAAGGAAGTTCTTCAGGCAAAAGAAAAAAAAAAAAAAATCAGACAAAAATATGCATCCACACAAAACAATGGTAAACACGTGCGTAAACATAAAATACATTTTTTTTCTTTTTTAGTTGCTTTGAAAGATGACTGATTGTTTAAAGCAAAAATATCAACAGTGTTTTGTAGGATTTATAACATAGAATTAAAATGTATGATAACAATAGCACATAGGAAGGGAAAATAGGAAGTATATTATTTTAGGATTCTTAACTCTATATATGAAGTGGTATAATAAAAAAATATGATCAAAGAAAAATGCTGTTCACAGTGTCTGGAACACTCAATAAATCTTTTTTTCTCCCCTTTGAATAGGAAAGAATACTTTATGCAGAAATGAAAATAAATATAAAGACTTTGAGAGAGAAATGCAGTTGGGATACATGGAGATCAGAAAGAGGGCCAGGAGCTGGGTGAGACTATAGGGAAATAATAAGAGATAAGGCCAGATAACATAGGGCCATATAAGCCATCTTAGTGACTTTGGAGGATTTATGATATACAACACCAAAGTGAAATAATTTATTACAGAACATATTTAAATATCAATCCAAACTCAGTCATCTTACCAAACAGAAATGACAGGAGTTAAAAGAGGAGGGAAAGGACTTCATAATTAATATGGTACATATAATCCTACTCATTGAAATCCCTAACTGTATTCCCCAAAGTCTATTGGCTATTTCACAAAGGTCATATGTAATTGATCTTTAATGGATAATCATGTTGAGTCTGATTTCTGCCTCATGATATTGAAGTACTGCCTACACATAAATGTCAAGAGCCAAGTTTTCAGCAGAAGTAGAAGGCATCAACACACTTTCCAAAAAAGAGAAGTGAATTTTGTCTGCCTTTCTCTCTCTCTCCCTTGCTCCCTCTCGCCATTTTTCTTCCCCTCCCTTCCTTCTTTTTCTTCCTCCCTTCTTCCCTTCTTTGTCTCTGTCTCTCTATCTCTCACTCAGTCACTTTTAGTGTTAATACCATTAAAAATACAGATATACAGGGCTGCTCAAAATCCAGAAAATGGAAAGAAAAAAAACGTGTTGAACAAAGAACTTCATCAAAAGCAAAATGTGTTCCTCAAAAAGCTGACTCAGAATTTTTAAGTCACCCTAGTTTTTTAATTAAGTAGTAAATTTTTTAAACAAAAAAGAACCTGTGTGTATCCTTTACAACTGCCGTCCTTAGATAGTTGCATGGGAGATCATTTGATTTAATTTCTATACTTATAGGAATATAAGCTCCATGAATGTAAGCAGTGTACTTTTTTGTTTATCACCGATTATCTGGCATGTAGTAGATACACAATATATATGTGTTGAATAAATGAATCATGACAACACTATGAATAGGAACTATCACCTTTTTATGACTGCAAATGTTGAGACAGGAAATGTAAGTATAAATGATCAACATGGAATCTATCTGCCAAAGAATTTTGTCAGATTAAGTAATAATAAAAACAACAACAATAATAGCAGCTAATATTTACTAAGAACTCTCAATATGTGAGACTGCTTTTGTTTTGTTTTTATTTTATCATTATGCAATGTAAACATTTTTTGTGGCCTTTTATCCTCCCCTCCCTCTTCCTTTACCACCTCTGGTCGTCTCAGTTTGTGAGACTGCTTTACATAATTTATTTCATTTAATTCTCACAACAATCTCATAAAGTAGGTAGTAGAATTATCCCCATTTTATAGATGGGTTAATCAAGGCTTAAAGAAGGTAAATAACTTGTCTACTGTCATGCAACTGGAGGATTCGGGATTTGAACTTAGCATCAGATTGCACAGCAAAAAAAGAAAAAGAAAAGAAAAAAGGAAATTGAGTTTATGAAGTTGAAGCTGCAAGGTGCAAGCTGGTTGCAATGAATTTTGGGAGAAATGAAAAGTCTATAGTTTGAAGCAAATAATGTGGGAAATCTTAAAGTAGGGTATTTACGAAACAACACATGGTACAATAATGTCAGCAATACTGTCATTTTTTTGACACTATATGTACATTTAAGATGATCATTTCATACCCCTATACCTTAAATTTAGAACAATGAAATGGTACCACTATGTAACTTTTAAAAAGAACTTTTAAAACACCAGATACTGCATACCATTCATAAAGATACTTTTACTTCAATAAACTATTACTGTGACAAAAACATTATTACTTATGTTTGGGGAAATTTTTTAAGGAGATAATTTTTCTTTGTTTAAATAAAATTTTATGTCATATAAACACAGTAACATCTCATAAGGTCACCTGGATGTTGATATATTCTGGTTCATATATCCAGCACATTCTCTCATTAACAGACTGTACAAGCTAATTATGATTTGATATATTTGTTTTAAGCTGAATGGGGTGTTTTAAGCTGAATAAATAATCATAAACACTACTAAAAATTACTTCCCAAACTAATAATTACTCTGAAATAAGGTAGTTTTTTCTTTCCAAACGGACCATATATTCTTTGTTCTAGGAAGACTTTTTTATTATTATTACAAGATTTAAATAGGAAGTATACTGAGTATCTCACTCACGAGATTACACAGAGGAAAGGATATCAACACCAACAATTCTTGGCTGTCCCACTGTTAAGGTATCATACTGCTACTGTCATCCAAATTACTGATTTCTTAGGGGAAATGACACATCCACCCAACTATATTCTTATCTTTACCTTCAGAATCCCAAGATCAAAAAACCCTAAGGGTAAATGTATATGACACAAGCATATGTGATATTTTAAAGTACAATATAGTAGACATTAAAAGTCAGAGATGAATTTTATTTTTAAAGTTGTTTTCCAAAGGTAAATATAGCCCACCTCAAGTATATACATAAAACATTAATGCTCTCAACTACTATTTGTTACCAATCTCAATACTTCGTGATGTGGTATGAGAATATAACTGAGGATCAAGGTTGCTGTGAGATGTCTCCATGAATTTATCTTATATATAATTAAACTGTACTATCATGTGAATTAACAAAGGTAGTTGCCACTAACCATGTCTTTAAAAGTCAAATTGAATAAATAAAAGGTAAAATATAATAGAAAGATTTAAGAAATGAAAAAGTTGTCATTGGTTGAACAAATGATGTTAAGAACACATTTAAAAATTTTTTCCATTTAAGAATAGAATAGGCATAACTCTAAAATGAAGAAGCTGTTAAGATTAACCTTTGATAAGCTACAACAAAAGGAAAAAAACCACTCTGGTCTTTTTTTTTTTTTTGTCTTTTGTCTTTTTCCGTGTCCGGCAATGGATCGCAACCCTCAGTGTTGCCCCCGTACCGGACCGGGGACCGGCAACGGGATTGCAACCCTCGGCGTTGCTCCTGCGCCTCGCTCA